AGGATGGATGAGATCATTTATCCTTGTCTTTGCTGCACACATGGCATGCATGTGAGACTTTTTCTCTGTTCTTGATTTATTACATTGGTTCGCTGTGTTTGCATAACTTTAGGTTATTTGTAACACCAACTTTTGGAAAATCAGAAATGTCCCTATCAGCTCTTGGAAAATGTTCTCCAAACGACTAGAGATCTCCCCGACTTAGAATTTGATGGATTTGTAGGATGCATTTAAGGATGTGGAAGGAGCTGTGCCAAGCGAATTGCAAATAGGAATCGCCTACATTGGGGAGATTATTGGGTTTCAGTCTAAGAGGGATTCAGCCGTATGCCTGAACATGAGCTAATGTGGCTCAGTGGAGCACAAAGTGCCAGAGGTCAGAAGTTCAGGAGTTTTTGCTCGGCTGAACATTATTTATCTATTTATAAATTAAACTATGTATGTTTGACAGTAGAGTAAATGTTAGGAGTATCAGTAACTGGTGGATTTTGTAGCATCCCATGCTGGAAATTTCTGCCCTGTGTCAGTTGTGCTAGGTAGTGGTACATAGTCAAGTTCAAGACACGGATGCTTGCGTATAGAACAGCCACAGGCTCAGCACCTTCCTACTTCCATTCACTCTTATGAGTCTACATCCCCTCCAGAAGCCTGAGGTCGGTCACTGAGCAACACCTCATGGTATCATTACAGAGAGGCACACTCTTCCTTTCTAGTATATGTATATTTTGTTTGTTTATATTCTCTGGTATGTATATCAGTGTAGTATATGTTGTGTTATAGTGTAAGTGCTCTGTGAAAAAGGTGCCTTGTCAGACTTCCAGAAATGACAAACCATGAGAGACTGTTTAGCAGGAGCGTCTGTAAAGTTAACAGACCAGTTGTTTGGTGTTTTCTAAACAACAGTCTTTACTATTATGATTGTGTACACAAAGCATGGCATGACCTAAACCAAATATATATATATATATATATATGTGTATGTATATATATTATACCAAAATATAATATGGATCTTTGAACACTGAGAAGGATTGTGACCAAACAAAGTTACAGCAAACCTCAGTATTCACCTTGCAGCCTAATTATTCAAAAAAAAAAAAAAAAAAACAATACAGAAAATTCCTTCATATTAATACAGTACACTGTGCCCTCTATTTTTGTGCGTAAATAAATATGACAAATTGCTTAAGATTAAATTGAAATACAATATAATTTCTTAGGATTGGTTTTACAAGTTAATTTCTAGGTTAGGTTTAAAAAAATCTTAAAAACAGATTGAACATTTGTTATTGCTAAGGAAACTGCTCATTTAAAAGTAATATATATTTACTTTTATTGACCTTCAAAATGATACAATATGATACTTATAGTCTCAGACAAAATTCACAAAAGATATTCTAATACTTCACAAAGCCAACAAGATGATGTCATGATGAACTTCAACATAAACTACTTTGGGCAGTTTTGGGGAGAGAAGCAGAGTGAGAAGCAGATTCAATCCTTCAACATCTCTGAAGCAACTGGCAGATATTCTGATAGATGACCCACAACTGGAGACTATTCAAGTTATGCTGCCAAATTAATCTGTGCTGCCAAAACTGCTCCGATGCACATGATGCACGTTCCAAATGCTCAATCAGATTGAGATCTGGGGAATTTGGAGGCCAAGGTAACACCTTAAACTCTTTTTTTCATGTTCCTCAAACAATTCCTGAACAATATTTGCAGTGTGGCAGGGTACATTATCCTGCTGTAAGAGGCCACTGCTTTCAGGGAGCACCACTGCCATTAAGGCACATATGTGGTCTGCAACCATCCTTAAGTGGGTGTCAAAGTAACATCCTCATGAATGCCAGGACCCAGGGTTTCCCAGCAGAACATTGATTGGGTATAACACTAAATCCGCTGGTCTGCATTTTCCCATAGTGAATTCTGCTGCCAGGTAAACAACACATATGCACCCAGGCAGGCCATCCACTTGATCTAAAAGAAAACATAATTCATCAAACCAAGCAACCTTCTTCCATTGCTGCATTGGGACAAAGGCACTTTTTGGGCACCTGTGACACTGATGCTGGTTCATCAGTTGGTGTTCCTTGCACCACTTTTTTAGGTACTAACCACTGCATACCAGAAACGCCATATAAGACTTGCCGGTTGGGAGATGATCTAACTCAGTTGTCTAGCCATCATTATTTGACCCCAGTCAAACAGTGCGTTCCAAATGGGATATATCGCCCTCTGAAGGGCACTTCGGGGTGAAAACAATCATGGCATCCATAATGAAGGGTTGTTCCAAACCGAAGTGCTCAAAACTGGCCACTTCAAAGGGCCCTTCGGAATGAAGGATTTCGAAGAGTACAATTTATGGACACTTCGGGCCCCCATGATCCTTTGCGCTGATTCTTTTCATGATGATGGCGCCTCCATGTGGGCACGGGATGACGCAGAAGGACACTTCAAGAAAGGGTCCCCTACATACTTCAACCCTTCAAAGCTCGCACTCCGAAGGGTAAACCCTTTGAAGGGATTAGGGCATAGGGATGAGCCCTTCCGAATGGAACGCAGGGAAAGTCACTCAGATCTTTTCGTTTAACCACTTTTCCTGCTTCCACCACATGAAATTCAAAAATAGATTGTTCACTTGCTGCTTAATATATCCCACCTCTTGACAGGTGCCATTATAACGATATAATCAATGTTGTTTACTTCACCTGTCAGTGATTTTAAAGGGTTAGTTCACCCAAAAATGAAAATTAGCCCACAAAAATGTTTTAAGCCCTAAACAGTAAACACGCTGCACGATTTTCGGCAGTCCCAGACGAAACACTGGCATCGTGAAACAGTCGTGGCCATTTCTGTGATCGTGGCTCCAAATCGGTGGTCCTGTGTCGTACAGTGAGAGAGGTTCAAAGATGGCCGTTGTCACGGTCTTGCGACCAAAGATAGCCTATGATATCGCACAGTGTGTTTGCTGCTACGATCCACGTTTACTGACCAACCAATAAAAATGCGACATGAAATCAACGCGACATGGCGCTAAAACATAAAACTGCTTACCTCAAGCTCTTATCCCTTCCTCTTTCGTCGCTTCCACTTTTTTTCAGCACATATAAAAAATACAACTGCTAAGGTGTGATTTATCATGCTCTTTTTTTATTACCACTAGCGCATGCTGATGACGTTTTATTCTTCTATAGAAACGTGCGTCGTAGCGTACGAGTCGATAGGTTTCATCATCGTACAGTCTACACACATGTCAAAGCCAAGTTTATTAGATCCATGTCGCACAGTGCCATGCAGTGATCTTATAGGATTGCTAAAATCATGCAGTGTGTTTTGGGCTTTAGACTTGAAATTACTCCTTTGACTTTCTCCATTCAATTTGCCCCTTCATACAGACATACAAAAAAGATTTATGGATATAATTAGAGCTTAAGTGTTGAAAATAAGAAAATGCAAACGAGAAATATTTCATTTTCATGTTGTAGACATTTCTTAAATATTTCTACTCATAAATTCTAATGTATTGTTTTATCAGAGAGAAAAAAATCAACGCGACATGGCGCTAAAACATAAAACTGCTTACCTCAAGCTCTTATCCCTTCCTCTTTCGTCGCTTCCACTTTTTTTCAGCACATATAAAAAATACAACTGCTAAGGTGTGATTTATCATGCTCTTTTTTTATTACCACTAGCGCATGCTGATGACGTTTTATTCTTCTATAGAAACGTGCGTCGTAGCGTACGAGTCGATAGGTTTCATCATCGTACAGTCTACACACATGTCAAAGCCAAGTTTATTAGATCCATGTCGCACAGTGCCATGCAGTGATCTTATAGGATTGCTAAAATCATGCAGTGTGTTTTGGGCTTTATCTGATCTGTGTGTGTGCGTGTATAGATCACAGTAATCACACAATTTCGACATCCAAGTGAAAAATTCAGTCCATTGGGCCTACAGGACGAATAAGTAGCATTTTATTAAATGTTACAAAGACAAACATATTTATTTCTCTACAATAAAGTCTACCAATTAATTGTTCAATAAAACTAGGTAGGCGCATTTATAAAGTAAAAAAAAAATGATGCAAAAAACCTCTGCTGGTGGAAGAGCATTTTGTTTTTGAGCTCCCCAGCTGTGATATGGCCTCCCTTCTTACTCCAGGGGAGTTCATCCCGATTACTGGCATTAGACACACTCCCAAGTGTATATTACAACATTCCTGTCCACTCAAGCATTCAGCTAGCTCAGTGTATGCGTATACACTCAAACATAATTGGACTAGACTAGGTATCAAATATATTAGTTCTGGTGAAATACGATGCAGATGTCGTTGACCACTGCATGCATGTGATTTCTCTATAGCAACACTGTCAATGTTTAAATGTAGATGTGATTTAATGTTGAATCAATGTCAAGTGTAAGTGTTTTAATTGAAATTTAATCAGCTAAATTTTGTTGCAGGTTTGTTGCAGGATGCAGTTGAAAAAAATCTAAATTTAAATGTTATGTTATCATGTTCCAGTACGAACATCAGTCTTTATTGAAATTAAAAGCAAAATGTAAATTAGAAGGAAGTGTCTAGATACATTTGATCATGTAGTATTGTGTAAATGCATATCTCTTTGATGATTTTGTTGTTTTGTTTTTGTTCTGTCATGTTTTCTTTAGTTGTCATGTTTTGTTTTTTGCTTTCTTTTTGCTTTGCGCTATTTTGTTTTTGTTCTGTTCTGTCATGTTTTTGTTTAGTGGTCATGTCATGTTTTTTGTTTTATTTATTTTTTTATTTATGTGTTTATTTTCTTGGTTTTGTTTTGCTTTTTGGCTTTGTATTGTTTTGTTTTTGTTTTTGTTTCTGTTCTGCCATGTCTTGTTTTGTTTTGTTTTGAGTTAAATTGCCAAGTCTAAGTGTCTCATTATTTGTTTATAGAAATATTTATTAGTGAATTGACAGTACAGGAGAATAAAGAAATGTTGTTTTTTTTCATCATTTTAGATGCATCTTCCACAGAGCAGCATGAGCTGTTCATGCAGAAACTACAGCAGTGCTGCGTAATGTTCGACTTTTATGACACAGTGACTGACCTAAAGAGCAAAGAGACCAAACGGGCCACTCTCAGTGAACTTGTGGATTATGTGTCCACTAACAGAGGAGTTCTGGTAGAGCCTGCCTATCCTGAAATCACCACCATGGTCAGCATTCATGTGATGTCCACCAAATAATTTATTTGTTTTTAGCAAAAATAAAAATCTCTTCCTTATTGTCAAAGTAAACTCCAAATCCTTTCTGTTTACAGGTTAGCACAAATATTTTCAGAACGCTTCCACCCAGTGAAAACCCTGACTTTGACCCAGAAGAAGATGAACCCACTCTAGAAGCCTCCTGGCCACACATGCAGGTCAGCTCTCACATTTTATAGCTCTTTGTTTGCTTATTTACAATGCATTTTTTAATGTACTAATATATTTAATTAACTTTATGCACAGCACAGCATGTGAATAAATTAAACAAGTCTTACAAAAAAAACAGCATTTTGTTAAGGTTATAGGGAGTACATTGTGTATTGTGTATGTATTTATTTAAGCAAGCTATATGTTCTAATATTGTTTCTACATGTGTAAAGCATTAGAAAAATATTAAATATTGTCTTTTTTCTTTTTTTTTTTCTTTTTTTTTTCAGTTGGTGTATGAGTTTTTCCTTCGATTCCTAGAAAATCCAGACTTCCAGCCAAGTACTGCCAAACGTTATATTGACCAGAAGTTTGTGCTACAGGTATATGAACTTTGTATGAATGAATTTCAATTCTATAAATTTAATATAATTTTTTTTTTAATAATTCATATTATTTTTCAGAAAATTATTCTTTGTGAATATTAGTAATTAGTATTGTTCTTTTGTTCTTACTATTTTTCTTGGTATTTGCCATTTTATTTTAAAGCAGCATAATCCTATTGCATAAAATATTAAAATGTATATTTTTTAAAAATTAAAGTTTGTTTTTTGTTGTTGTTTTAATCATACATTTTAACTGTTTAGTGATAGTTATCCCTAAAACACACCAATTTGGTATCCTCTGGCATAAATGGGGACTAAAAGAAAAGAAAAACAAGTTCTTATCTGACACAGTTTTGGTTCTGAAGTTAATTTGTCCTGTTTTAAGGATTTTTAGAAATATTGAATTAAGAAAATACTGATTAATAAAATGCATTTTTTTAGGAGACTACTTTAATAGCAAAAATATTTAATATCCCTTCCCCGACTTACAGCTGAAGTGGTAAATATTTTGAAATATGAAATTATACGCTTGCTAGGCCTGGTCTCTTCCTCTTTTGGATCTGCCTCAGTCTGTTCCTGCGTGAAGCAGTGGGTCATCAGCTGTCCGTATCGACCCCGTCATTCCCCCTGAGCGCACTGAATGCTCTGGAATGTAGAGTCAGTGCAGAAGCTGATAAAAGCGAGTTTCCATGATGCTAGCGTTTCCTGGGCTGCTCTAAATAGCGCCCTGTTGTTTACGCCACAGGAAGGAAAGAGGCAGCACTGTAGTCCAGGCTGGGATGGAGAACATAATGACAGATAGCAGACACAACACAAAAAGAGATGTGGTAGAGAGTGTTACTGCATGCCTGTTGTTTTTTGCATTATTTTTCCATTTGGAGACGCTGTTGTACAGAAATTATACATTTAAGCTTTAAGATTTTGAAAACGTAAAAAAAAAGTTGCAAAAAAACTGCATTTACAACCCATTGTGGTGTATTTTTGAACAGAGCATGATACTTACCAAGATGGTACTTTATCTGTCTATCTATCTATCTATCTGTCTGTCTGTCTGTCTGTCTGTCTGTCTCATCTGTCTATCTATCTATCTGTCATCTGTCTGTCTATCATCTGTCTGTGTCTATCTGTCTATATATCTGTCCTCTGTCTGTCTATCATCTGTCTGTCTGTCTGTCTATCTATCTATCTATCTATCTATCATCTGTCTGTCTGTCTGTCTGTCTGTCTGTCTATCATCTGTCTGTCTGTCTGTCTATCTATCTATCTATCTATCTATCATCTGTCTGTCTGTCTGTCTGTCTGTCTGTCTATCATCTGTCTGTCTGTCTGTCTATCTATCTATCTATCTATCTATCATCTGTCTGTCTGTCTGTCTGTCTGTCTGTCTATCATCTGTCTGTCTGTCTGTCTATCTATCTATCTATCTATCTATCATCTGTCTGTCTGTCTGTCTGTCTGTCTGTCTATCATCTGTCTGTCTGTCTGTCTATCTATCTATCTATCTATCTATCATCTGTCTGTCTGTCTGTCTGTCTGTCTGTCTATCATCTGTCTGTCTGTCTGTCTATCTATCTATCTATCTATCTATCATCTGTCTGTCTGTCTGTCTGTCTGTCTGTCTATCATCTGTCTGTCTGTCTGTCTATCTATCTATCTATCTATCTATCATCTGTCTGTCTGTCTGTCTGTCTGTCTGTCTATCATCTGTCTGTCTGTCTGTCTATCTATCTATCTATCTATCTATCATCTGTCTGTCTGTCTGTCTGTCTGTCTGTCTATCATCTGTCTGTCTGTCTGTCTATCTATCTATCTGTCTGTCTGTCTGTCTGTCTGTCTATCTCTTATCTGTCTGTCTATCTATCATCTGTCTGTCTGTCTATCTATAATCTGTCTGTCTGTCTGTCTGTCTGTCATCTGTCGATCTATCATCTGTCTGTCTGTCTGTCTGTCATCTGTCTATCTATCATCTGTCTGTCTGTCTATCTATCTATCTATCTATCTATCTATCTATCATCTGTCTGTCTGTCTGTCTCTCTGTCTGTCTGCCGTCCGTCTGTCCGTCCATCAAAATATATAATATATTTTGTCCTAATGATAGGTGACCACTTAACTGCTTGAATGAATTAAATTCCCATTTAAAAGTGCTTTATTTTAGGGTGATAAAGCTATGGTCAGCTGGTCTTTTATTCCATCTTATTCATAGCCATCTATTGAAATAAGCGCTGCATGTGGAGAATGAGCAATTTTAATCCTGTTTAAATTTGGATTTAGAGTTACTAATGTTTTAGACATCATTAACAGCGTCATGAATGTGATTGAGGTTGGACTCATTTACTAATAATGTCATGTTGCATAAAGGCTGTTGTCAAATACATCACTCATGGCAGGGATTCATTGTCTGGAGGCTAAGGGTAGCATTACATAACGCAGTCCTGTGCAGACAGTCTAATGACGCTGCCAGATCAAACCATTCCATAAAACCTTCCATTAAAGGAACACTCCACTATTTTTGAAAATAGGCTCATTTTCCAACTCCCCTAGAGTTAAACAGTTGAGTTTTACCGTTTTCGAATCCATTCAGCCGATCTCCGGGTCTGGCGGTAGCACTTTTAGCTGTAGCTTAGCATAGATCATTGAATCTGATTAGACCGTTAGCATCTCGCTCAAAAATGACCAAAGAGTTTCTGTATTTTTCCTATTTAAAACTTGACTCTTCTGTAGTTACATCGTGTACTCCAGTACTCCAATGAAAAGTTGTGATTTTCTAGGCCGATATGGCTAGGAACTATACTCTCATTCTGGCGTAATAATCAAGGAACTTTGCTGCATTGTGCCTGCTGCACCCATGGTACGGCAGCAAAGTTCCTTGATTATTACGCTTAAAAAAAAAACAAGATGATTACACTATTTCAGGGTTGCAACCTCATACTGTAATAAGAAATTATTATGTGAGAAAATGTACTCCTTGCTTTTTTTCCAGCTCTTAGAACTGTTTGACAGTGAAGATCCTCGAGAGAGAGAATTTATAAAAACGGTTCTGCATCGCATCTATGGGAAGTTTCTGGGTTTGCGTGCCTTTGTTCGGAAACAGATCAACAACATTTTTCTGAGGTAAGAAAACACTTATTTTCCCACTCTTATATTTGTGTACACTGCTATTCAAAAGTTGTTTGAAAGAAATGAATACTTTGATTCAGCAAGGATGCACAAAATTAATAAATAGATTTATCAAACGTGACCATAGCAACATTTATCATTTTCGAAAAGATTTCTATTTCAAAAAAAGCTGTCCTTTAAACTTTCTATCCCACTAAAAAATATTAAGCAGCAAAACTGTTTTCAATATTGATAATAATAAGAAATGTTTCAGCATATAATAATGATTTCTGAAGGATCATGTGACACTGAAGACTGGAGTAATGATGCTGAAAACTCAACTTTGCATCACAGGAATAAATTACATTTGAAAATATATTCAAATAAAAAACAGTTATTTTAAAATGGAATAATATTTCACAGTATTACTGTTTTTACTGTATTTTTGGTCAAATAAATACAGCTTTAGCAAAAACATTTGAATAAACTCTTACCAAACACAAACATTTTAACTGTAGTTTGTGTCTGCATTTTTTTGTCATTCTTACATGGCTTTGTAATCTTTATGTAAAAATTGTTTTTGCATGTCAAAGTAAGGCAAATGTGACCCTGGACCACAAAAGCAGTCTTAAGTCGCTGGGGTATATTTTTAGCAATAGCCAAAAAAACATTGTATGGTCAAAATTATTGATTTTTCTTTTATGCCAAAAATCATTAGGATATTAAGTAAAGATCATGTTCCATGAAGATATTTTGTAAATTTCCTACTGTAAATATATCAAAACTTAATTTTTGATTAGTAATATGCATTGCTAAGAACTTCATTTGGACAACTTTAAAGGAGATTTTCTCAGTATTTTGATTTTTTTGCACCCTCAGATTCCATATATATATATTATATATATTTCTGACTGTCTTATGAATTTCGAATAATGTACAGAGAACTTTTGGAATGTGGATTGTGCATTTAGTTTAACAAAAAAAAACTTAAGTTTATATATTGTAATTATATTATGTTTATATTATATCATTATATTTTATGTGGAATGTAAACCATTCATATAATTTTCCCAGATACATCTATGAAACTGAGCACTTTAATGGAGTTGCTGAACTCCTTGAGATTCTGGGCAGGTGAGTCTTTTCTTTCATGTTCTGTTCACAGAGATCATTTAATGGAGTTAGTGCTTTTGAAAGCGTAGCGTCAGAATGCATGCTGGGTAAAAGGTTATTTGGCAGCTGGTGTTGGTGTTGGCTGGCTGTAGTCACCTAATGTTAAAACAGTCATCAGTTGTGTTGCTGTCTTTATAATCGCAGTATTATCAATGGCTTTGCTCTGCCGCTGAAGGCTGAACACAAGCAGTTCCTCATGAAGATCCTCATTCCCCTGCACACTGCCAAAGGACTCGCGCTGTTCCACGCACAGGTAACCCTCTATCATATCTGATGCGCTAGTTTTTAAAAGATCAACGCTGAAAAACCTATCTACTAAAACAATCTGCTATAACCAAGTGCCTTCTGTCGTCTGAATTATAGTTTATACTTTTTTAGTAAGTTAAAGGCCTTTAGTATAATAGTAAACTGTCCACCTTCATGTGTCTTTTTGCTGTGAAATCCCTACTGATTTTTAAAAAGTAAGCCTAAGAATAACTTCTGTATTGTTAGTAATATTTCAAGATCTAAAACTTTCTGAAGTATGATGATGTATCCATACATCATTTAAAAAGGGGAAAACAATATATAGTATTAAATATGATACATCAGGCTTTTGAGGAAGGTTTATTTGTACATCTCTATACATACAGTCATCTTTGTATTGCACTGAATTAGGCTATTATTAGGAGATATGGATATGTATATGCATTTTATGTAAGTAGTCTGCCATGCTGTTTTTTTTTTGTTACTTAAGTGAGTGTAATTCACTGTAGTAAATATGCCACTCTGGTACAGTATATATCTGTACATGCGCATTTGTTGCTGCCGTAAAGCAATCCACACTTTTTGTGGAATTTTTTTTTAAGGACATTCAAGCTAAAATCCACATCACATTTCTCCCTCTGCAACTGTAGTTAGTTTTTTGCACATCTTACAGTTTTACAGTCATGAAAAACGTTATAGGCAGAGAAATTCATCTGGTGATTATACGGCCAGTAGCCATTTAAAATTAATATTTTTTCCTATTCATAAGCATGGTAAGAAAACATTTTTGCAGGTTGATTATGTTTGCACAAACCATCTCTTGTTTAGTATCTACTGTTCACATCCACTCTTCACCTGGTTGTGTTTCAGCTGGCCTACTGTGTGGTTCAGTTCATAGAAAAGGACCCGACCCTCACTGAAGTGGTACTGCTCACCTCACCTCACCCTCACACCATCCCATTTCAGTCTATTTGAGCCACCAACACACTTTTATTTTTACAGCTACACTCTGAAAGTTAGAATTGGTTTTGGGAAATGGAATTATTTTAATTATATTTAAATACAATTACATGAATTTCTGTTAGTAGTAGTAGTAGTTGAAATGTGTACTTTCTGCACACTAGTGCCTTTAACAGAATTGCAAAATATAATGCCTTATTAAAAGTTCCACCACATGATTTTGGTAGAACAAATATATAGTCTTGTCCAGAATAGTTGTTAATGGTCTTGATGGCTGGTAGGGTTTTACCCAGAAGGTCAAGGTTTAGCTGGCCTACAGAAAGTGGTCCACTTTGAGATCCTGTGAAGTGTGCATTTGTAGAATGCATAAAAATGTGTGTACTCTTTATTGGTCAGTTTAACTGTTTAATTGTCTCACACTCAGAAATAAAGGTACAAAATCGGTCTCTTTTCAAAAGGTACATGTTTGTCCACGAGTCCATTTTGGTACCTTAAAGGTACATATTAGTAAATAAAGTGTATATATTAGAACTTAATAGGTACAAAAGTGTACCTTTTGAACATTTACCGCCCTAGTGACAGCTTTTGTACCTTTATTTTTGAGAATGCAGTTCAAATATCAGACAGGCACATGTGTATATACTGTATATGTGACCCTGGGCCACAAAACCAGTCATAAGTACCACAAGTATATTTGTAGCAATAGCCAACAATACATTGTATGGTCAAAATTATCGATTTTTCTTTTATGCCAAAAATCATTAGGATATTAAGTAAAAATCATGTTCCGTGAAGATATTTTGTAAATTTACTACCCTAAATGTTTTCAAACTTAATTTGTGATTAGTAATATGCATTGCTAAGAACTTTATTTGGACAACTTTAAAGGCGATTTTCTCAATATTTAGATTTTTTTGCACCCTCAGATTCCAGATTTTCAAATAGTTGTATCTCGGCCAAATATTGTCCTATCCTAACAAACCATACATCAATGGAAAGTTTATTTATTATAAATCTCAATTTTAAAAAAAATAGACCCTTATGACTGGTTTTGTGGTACAGGGTCACATATGTATTTGTAAATACAGTATGTGTACTAATTTGACTTCCAGTGCACTTATTACAGAGAAAATTCCTCTGGGGTAACTTCAAGTTAAGTGCCTTTATCAAGGCCACAATGGTGAATGTTAAACCCCTCCAGCAGCAATTTATGAACTTATAAACTATACCAGATATTAAAGCACTAGGCTGTGGCACCATGAGAGCAGGTACTCATGCCACACTTCCTCAGACATCAGAGTGTGAAGATGCTGAGGGGCTTCTGGAGGTTTGGCTTGGTGTTGGGTTTTCAAGCCGCTGTCGCTGGCCATCTGTGTATTTCTGATAATACGGCGGCTGCTGGGTTTAGTTGCACAGTCATGTGTGAACAGGGACTTCATTCTGAGGACGTGCTGCCAACCGCAGGGAAGCCCAGAGTTCACCGTGAGCTCATTACCACTGCTGTTCGCCCGTGAGCAGGAATTAACTCATGGATTCACACAGGCATGAATACCCCCGTTAGAGGGCGATGGTGTTGAAGGCAGAGCTATAAATGATATGGTACGATGAATGATATTTCATATTTCTGGGTTTGGAGAGTGAAAGTAAACAGCAGAGGAGAGGGCACAGCTGGACTTGATGAGATGTCCATCTGACGCAATAAAAATAGCACAGCACCCACACCAGCGTGGTTTATCTGTCAAGTACTTAAAGTAGACAAAATATTCTGTGATAATTCTAGGATATATATTTCAAGGTCATTAGAATTGCATAATTGATCAAAAATGTATCTTTTCTGTTTCCTCTTAGGTGGTTCGTGGCCTTCTTAAATTCTGGCCTAAGACGTGTAGTCAGAAAGAGGTAAACTGATCATTTATGGGCCAGTCATTACAAAACGTAATGAGTGCATTATGAGTGGCAATATAACGGCTGTTCTCTTTTTTCTACTTTTTACTACTTTATTTGCAGACTGAAGTGTCTGATGAGTTTCTGTGTTCTGTCTCTGCTCTGTTAGGTCATGCTTCTAGGGGAAATTGAAGAGATCCTGGACGTGATCGAACCTACGCAGTTCAAGAAGATTCAGGAGCCTTTATTTAAGCAAATCTCTAAATGTGTAGCCAGCCCTCATTTTCAGGTAGAGTGTAGTGTTAGTATGTGATCAGAGTCTGTCCACTTTAATCACAGCTTGTAGGGAAACAGCAGCTGATTGCAAATGCAGTTTTACTATGGAATCAAATCCATGCCACATACAGTAGATTTCATAAATAAATAGATAATTGCTAAATAAAATAACATGTTGAAAACAATTGTGCTGCTTAATATTTACAGGATTCTTTGAAAGGAAAGTTCAAAAGTACAGCATTTATTTGAAATAGAAATCATTTGTAACATTATAAATGTTACTTTTACTGTGACTTTTAATCAATTAAAGTGCCCCTATTATGGATTTTCGAAAATGAACACAGCTCTAAGTGAATGAAACCATCCTGCAAAGTTTTAAATCTGAAAGGGCACCGTGTATAAAGTTATTGACTCTCAAAAGAAAGAGTTGACTGTGAATCATTGAAACGAGTCGTTTTTAAAACTAATCCCAAGCCGTTTCATGTTGATGTCAACATGAAACATTAGCATATTGCCAGTGGTGTATAAAGTACCTGAAAGCCATACTCAAGTAAAAGTACAGATATCTTACCAGAAAATGACTTTGGTAGAAGTTGAAGTCACCGTTTAGAATAATACTTGAGTAAAAGTCTTAAAGTATGTGATATTTATTGTACTTAAAGGAACACGCCACTATTTTTGAAAATAGGCTCATTTTCCAACTCCCCTAGAGTTAAACAGTTGAGTTTTATTTCCTATTTCTCTTCTGTAGTTACATCGTGTACTAAGACCGACGGAAAATGAAAAGCTGCGATTTTCTAGATTTTCTAG